ACTTCTCATAAATGGCGTTGAACAGATAGGAAATATCTTGCTGATGACGTTTATGTGAAAATCTCATGTTAGTTTCAGCTCTCTGTTGTGACGTAAGTATTTGAAACCTCGATCGGGCGATTAGTTCCGGGTTTTAATGGGGTGAGAGAAAAAGATATTAAAAAAAATGATATTCATTCATACTAATTGTTTAAATATTTTCATCAATAAGATCTAAGTGTCTACTGTTGAGTGCAGCTATCGACTATGGGTAGATTGAAGGAAGATGGGACGAAGAACTGAACAGTTATAGTATACAAGATGAGCTTCACATAGCTTGCAAGAGTGCCATAGAGGTGTGATTGCACGAATGGAAATTATGAGATGCTAATGAAATATTCCGGTAGCCATGTCATCGCCCGTGGCCTCCAAAATATTGCAAATCCTGTTTTCGAGAATAAACAATCAATTAACGTTGACTTAAAATCCCTCGAGCTCTGCAAGCAAAAACATTTTTCAAAGACGCCCTTCCGCTATACGATGTTATAGAAAAGAATGGTGATTGTATGGTAGATGCGAGCACCTTTACTCATTTGATCTCCGCATGCTCGTTTTTAAGATCAAGAGAATATGGAAGAAAAATCCACAACCATATTCTGAAATTCAACTTGCTGCCAGATACGATTCTCGAGAACCATATTGTCAATATGTACGGAAAATGTGGGTTGACAAATGGTTCTAGGAAAGTGTTCGACAATATGCCTGAAGTGACGAGGACTTCGTTAATTGCTGGATACTCACAGAACGGTAGGGATATCGAAGCCTTAAAATTGTATGTGCAAATGCAGCAGTCTGGTTTTTACACCAGATCACTTTACATTTGGAAGTGTGATTAAAGCTTGTTCGAGTATTGCCGATGCTGGTTTGGGTGGGCAGTTGCATGGCCAGGTAATCAAATCTGAAATTGGGTCCCACCTAATAGCTCAAAACTCTCTTACTGCTATGTACACCAAGTTTGCTCTGATCAGTGAGTCGGCCGATGTTTTCTCGCGCATCAAGAAAAAGGATTTGATTTCATGGAGTTCAATGATTTCCAGGTTTTCAAAACTCGGTTATGAGTTCGAAGCTCTAAACTGTTTGAAGAAAATGCTCTCTCAGGGTAGCTACATTCCAAACGAGTTCATTTCAGAAGTGTTGTCAGTTCTTGTGGCTCTCTCGTTCAGCCAGAATATGGGAGGCAGATGCACCCGAAGTATAAACTACGGTTTGGAGGCGATGCTTTTGCAGGTTTCTCATTGACCGATATGTATGTAAAATGTGGCTATTGGTATTCGGCAAAAACATCTCTCCAACTCATAGAAAATCCCGATATAGTGTCCTGAAATGCAGTCATATCCATATGGCGGTGATGCAAATCATGCCACGTCATCATTTTCTCGAATGAGGCATTTCGCCACGTCAGCACCAGATGACATCACTGTCCGTTCTTTGCTCTGTGGGTTCACCGAACCATGTATCCTCTCCCAAGGGAAACAGGTCCACTCGTATATTATATATAAAGATCGGACTAAATCTAGACATTCCAGTGTCTAATACTTTACTTACAATGTATGCTAATTGCTCAGGCTATATAGATGCATATAAAATGTTCGACGATATTCGCACCACCCCCCCCTAGTCTCTTGGAATACTATTATCACTACATGCATGCACCAAAACCAGCTTACAGAAGTCTTCTCGTTATTTTAAAACGATGCTGCTATTACACGGGGAGACCGGATTATATTTACTTTTAAGTAATATACGAGGGGCTTGTGGAAAAGTTTCCTCTTTAGGTATGGGCGATCAAGTTTATTGATGTGCGATGAAAAACGGGATCAATATAGTGACATAATGGTCATGAATGGATTAATTGATATGTACGTTAAGTGTGGATCCATCGAAGAGACCAGGATGCTCTTCGATTGCACGAAAAATACCGATGTTATCTC